CATCCCGCAGGGAGGTCTCCTCGGGAGCAGGCTGCAGGCGGTGTGCTTTGGCAGGGAAAAGGGAAAGAAAATTGGGGCTGATTCCTCAGCACGTCTGGTCTTTCAGTTTGGCTTGTCAAATATTTTATCCTGGTTCTTTCTTGCCTTACTGCTAAGAAGGAGAGTGCTGCGTCCTTTGCCTTTCAGCACTGTCAACTGACCTCAACCCCTTCTGTTCCTCTGCTTCCTGGCTTACGGATTACTGAATCTTTGTCAGTCTCTACCTGACTTAATGCATCTAGTTTAGACTAATGGCATCTCTGCTGGAGGTCTTCAAACAAGCTTAACTCTCCCCATTCACTACAGGTGGAATTTAACACTTTCTCCAGAGAACCTGCTCCTGGAGGCACAGATTAGGGGTCTGGATCCTAACAAGAGAAATGTGGGCATTTTCCTGCAAGAATCATGAATTTGCTCCTTACAACAGCACTGGCTGTGTGGCTCTGCATAAACCTCAGGAATGGACCAGCACTTTGCTAAGCTGTGTTGGAAGCATCCCAGAAAGGAAATGTGCTCCTCAATGATACTATTTTTAAAAACTGAATACCTCCTGTAGCTTTGTTCCACCCCTCTCTGCTGTGTGGAGTAGCAGATGCACAAGGCTCCACGTGTCCAGCCCTTACAGGAGGGTCTTTTTTCTGATTGTACTTCTTCACAGGGTGCCACGTTGCCCGAGCTGTTTTTCACATGTGCATCAAGAAGAGTTTGTGTTATCTCCAAGGTTCTCTATTTGCCTTTACATTCCCAAGTCTCAGCTCAGTAGCAATGATGGGGCCAGATGTCCTCTGCCCACTCCTTTTTTAATCTTGTGGAAAAACACTTGACACAACTCCCTGGCATGTTTTAAAGCACACGGGATTCCCATCTGCTCCTCTATGAGCCAAGTTCACATCTGCTTAGCTTCCAGGGCTAGCTGGGCTTGGATGCAACCAGTTCAGCATTAAGCTCCTCTAGCTCTGAAGGCTACAGTGGCTGAAAACTCCTGCCTGTGCAAGACACTCGACTCTCGCTTTCCAGCTGGTGCAGGCTGTGTGTTGACAGTGCTGAACAGTGACATCTTGTTGCTGAACACTTTGAAATTGTGTTAAATGAGTATGTTAAAAGACATATATATTTTCCAGAAAATGCAATGTTAAAGTTTTATTTCTATCTTTATATTTCCAAATTATTCTTCAGCAGTTTATATCTGATTAAAAAAAAAAAAATCAGTGATTCATTGCTAATTCAACAATGTTAACAAAAATATATAATCCATAATGGCTGTATTACAACATTAATTATTTTCAGACAAAGTTAGTAAAGAGCAGCTCAGTTTATGTGAACAGCATATTCTATAAAACATTTATTATTTTCTAACACTTGCCACTGGAAATCCTAACTGCAGTTAGCATTTTGTAAAATGTAAAAGAAAAGAAAACTATTCACCAATATATCATCATCTTGATTCACTGGGATGTAGACAAATGTATCCTGTTAGTCATTATAAAAGCCATATTTACAAAACTCCAAACATCATCATGAAAATAACGTGTCTTTTTACCTATATTTAAAAACTACCAAGCCTCTGGTTATTGTCCTGGGAGTCTGGGAGAAAGCTAAAGACCCGTACTCTCACTTTATTGCAGCAGGGTTCATACACCCAGCCTGACTTCTGGAAATGGGGAGTGATGATATTACACTCCTAAATTGCTACAGAAGATGTTTTCTTTAAAACTAAACATTTTTATTTGATATTAAAACACACAAAGCCCAAAGAGTGGAATTAGTTATAAGTCAGTTGAAGTGAGACTTCCAGTTGGAGACTGCCACCTGGATTTTCTAGACCAGGGAGGCAGAAGGCCATCTCCAAATATCACTCTTCCAGCTTGTTTCAGATGCTTATTTTTAGTAGAAGGAATCAGTCACTGCAAAGTGCCTAGCTCTCATCAGTGAGTGCAGAATGTAGTCTGGATGACTAGAGACAACCCGAGTACCTAAAGCTGGATGAAATGAAGTCACCTGAACTGGACACCTATTGGGAATTTCACAGCAGTTGAGATGTTCAGGATAAGACAGTCGTATACATTCAGATTTATAGTTCCTTGTAAAACAAGACAGCCTTTTCCAACACTCGCTGACATCTGGAGATGAAGATGTGAGTAGCACTTCTGGAAATCACAGTGGTTCGCTTTAGATGCATAGTCCGTGCTTGTAAACATTGACTAAAAACCCATGGGTTTTCCTGTGTTTGCTTGCAATATGGCAAGAACAGTCTGAATTCAATGCACTGATTAGGCACTGTTTGCATAAAACCAGGAAAAGAGATATGCAGTTGTAGAAAGACAATGAAAAGACCATTGCTTCTCTCTTGTGATAGATGTGTTTGCTGAATTCAAAGAAATGAATTGTGTCTTCTCAAAGTAACACAAATAAGAGATGTAAATAGAGCAGCAGTTGGTAACATTTTCTTTTCTTAGTGGTGATATAAAACATATATGCTACACCGAGTTTATGAAAGTATTGAGATCAAATCCAGAACCCAGATTATTTTTCAACCTGAGAGTCTTCATGCTGGAGCACAGTTGGGGATAGCAGAGATTCCTCATCCCTGCTTAGACGTGGTTTAGTTTTGGTGCTGGAGTTGTGTGTAGAAACATTTTTCTTCATATTCTGGTAAACCTAGAATTGGGAAAAGGAAATAAAAGATATCTTTTGCTACTACTGGTTGTACTTAGTAAACTGCTTTTCTGCCTGTGAAGCAGGCACTTGTAAGGTACAGCCCACCTCCTCTTGAGGGAGAATCACACTCGTATTGGCCCGTTACTTCCCACTGACTCCAAAGGGAGTCTAGGCAACTGCCTAAGTGAGATGGATCTTACCCAGCCAAAAAGAACTGGGTTGAGGAAGGGCGCTGGACTGCAAAGGAGGGGTTTTTTTCTAGGTACAGTGCTTTGAAGTTGCTCATCTGTTTGCCTCTGTGCTTGGCAGCTTCTGCCAGGCTAACAGCCTGCAGAGAGGCTTAAGGCTGCAAAGGCAAGAGTCATTCATAGCTCCCCACATCCCAAAAGGTTAGCAAGGGCACTGCACTGGGAAATAGTGTCTAGCTCAGAGTGGATACCCTGGTAGGAATCGGTAGTTTTGAAAGGAGTTGCTTATCCTCCCTGAGGAAGAGATCACAGTCTGTTAAGAATGTAAAATGACTTCCTCAGATCCTGTTTATTATTTTGACCTATGGCTCTCCGTCTGTGAGGACGTGGCAGCACATACCTATGGTGCCCCCCATGAGATCCCTGGCAGGTGGCCGGGGCTCGGTTCCCCTCCCATGGCAGCTATCAGCATCACCAAAGCCAACTGCACCGGCTCCTGCACAAGGGAGGCACAGTCCCATAGCACTGGCTGAGAGATTTCAGCCTTCCAGAGTCCCAGTGCAGGCAGTGGGAGGAAAGAAATCCTCATCAGGGAGGTCAGGATTCCTTCTGATGGCAGAAAAAATTTCCCCAAACTCTTACATAGATCCCCGGGGAATAGCTCCATAACACAATTGCACACTTGAATAGCAACCAGAAGACTGTTTCTCAGCTCATACGGGGCTACAACCCTCCCCCCCCCCCCCCAACATCTTCCTCCTTTTTTTGTGTACTTTT